CGTATTACCTGGATGTCTAACCTTCATCGACGTATCATTCTACATCATTCTCCAGTTTTCAGATAATTAAGTGCGTAATTCTGGAATATCCACACGATTTCACACTTAGATGAATTTGACTTACGCTTTTTTCGGTAGTCACATACGTTGCATTATTTTCAGTTTTTCCATCAAATTCACTTAAATCTCGCAATGAGCTATATTTGTACGCCTTTTAGTTGAAGTGACAGGCCTACGTTGCTTACAGATTTCTAACCGTTCTATAAACAAATCATCGCGTCTCAAGAACGCGCATGGACAAAAATTTCAGTTGCAAAAAAAAAAAAGTTCTGACAACTATAATCACTTCTTGGTTTTAAAAGAGAAACCGAATTGATAGTTCTGTAATTGATCTTAACCCTGCCAGGTTTGGTCAAACAACGTTAACGTTACGGCACCTAAAACGTATTCCGTGGCAAATAACACGACCACTTTTCACAAACATACAGTACCTTTATAGATGTATTGTCACCTTGCAATGTACATACATGTACATAATATGATCCAAACAAACAAAAACATCTATGAACAGCTTTCCAAGATGCGCGGCTTTGTATCTATTCTTCCTTAGATTTTTTGTCTTTCTTGTAGGAGGACTTCTCGGTGTCGTCCATCCGAAGCTCTGCCGGTGCCGGCTCTACAACCACCACCGGCACGCCGCTCCCCTCCCCGGTATGACTCTGGCTTCTCTTCACAGGCAAAGGCAGAGGCGATCCCTTCACCTCGAGGCTGCGACTCGGACTTGTTGCGAACGCTCGGCTCTTCTTGGGCGTAGGCTTCGAGTCGCGCTGAGAAGAACCCGGGGACTTCTTCGGATCTCTTCCCCGCTTGCCGTGATCGTGGCACGGGGACGTCTGTCTTGTCGAGGTAGCCTCCCGCGACTTCTTGTGCGTCGGCTGCTCGTAAGATTTGGAGGGAGACGGGGTCTTGGAGAGCCGGCCGCGCTGTTTGTTGTCGTGCGGCGGTTCTCGAGCTCCGCTCCAGAGAGCTTGTCCGTAGAGGCCGAGGCTGTCGTCTGCCCGCGGCTTGGGGCGGTAGCGGCTGTTGAACATGCGATGCCACTGCGTGGTGCGCTTCCTCAGCTCGGCAGTCCAGGACGCCGTCTGCTTGGCCTGCTCCAGAAATTTCAGCCACTCTTCCCCCATCGCCGACGCGTCTTCTGGTGACTGCGGAGCGTCTGCGTCTCCCGCTGGGAGATGAGGTGTGCTCCCCCTCTTCTTCATGAGCGGAGACTCAGTGACGCCCTGCCCAGTCACTGTCAGACAGGCCATCTCAGATCTAAGAGATGGAAGCGAGCCACTCCGGCAGCGGACCGTTGGCAAAGAACTGGGTCCTGCCTCCTTGATATCAACAGATGCGCCAGCCATTATGCGTTCCTCTCAACGGGAGCGATATTTTCCTCTCCGGTAATGATGAGCGTTTGTGATGTGAATTGCCTAGAGACGCATCCCCAACATGCCAGGCCAGCCTCCCGCGCGCAGAAATTACATCAACGTTTTCAAAAGCAAAATAACCGCACGTATCACCAGGAATGCTTCATGTAATTACCTGGCCGGCACGAGCGAATAAGAGAAAAAAGAAAACGTTTTTCAGGCCGTTTCAACTCGATTTAATCAAGAATGAGGAGTCTTTGATAAACATACAGCTTTTGTAAGCGCAGTTTTGGGACAATAATAATTGCTTGGCCTTTGAATATTAAGCGCTCTTCAAAACAAAATAACCACACCTATGACGAGGAAGGTTTCATATAATTACCTGGCCGGTACCAGTAAAGAAAACAAAAAAAGAAAACATTTCACATTTTCAGACCGTTTCAATTTGAATGTATATTCTATTGTAAGAAGAAGGAGGATTTGATAAACAGATTTTATAAACACAGGTTTTGTGGCAGAGGATCACAAATACACAGTACCTTTAAAACAAATTGTCACCTGGTACATTGCACAGTTCTTCGTGTCATCCAAAAACATCTATGAACAGTGTTTTTTTTTTTTTGAGCGCGACTTTTTGTATCTACATTATTGTATTTGTCCTTCGGTTTTCTGCCTTAAGCTGAGGAGGACTTGTCGATGTCGTCCATCCGAAGCTCGGCCGGTGCCGGCTCTACAACCACCACCGGCACGCCGCTCCCCTCCCCGGTATGACTCTGGCTTCTCTCCACAGGCAAAGGCAGAGGCGATCCCTTCACCTCGAGGCTGCGACTCGGACTTGTTGCGAACGCTCGGCTCTTCTTGGGCGTAGGCTTCGAGTCGCGCTGAGAAGAACCCGGGGACTTCTTCGGATCTCTTCCCCGCTTGCCGTGATCGTGGGACGGGGACGTCTGTCTTGTCGAGGTAGCCTCCCGCGACTTCTTGTGCATCGGCTGCTCGTAAGATTTGGAGGGAGACGGGGTCTTGGAGAGCCGGCCGCGCTGTTTGTTGTCGTGCGGCGGTTCTCCGCTCCAGAGAGCTTGCCCGTAGAGGCCGAGGCTGTCGTCTGCCCGCGGCTTGGGGCGGTAGCGGCTGTTGAACATGCGATGCCACTGCGTGGTGCGCTTCCTCAGCTCGGCAGTCCAGGACGCCGTCTGCTTGGCCTGCTCCAGAAACTTCAGCCACTCTTCCCCCATCGCCGACGCGTCTTCTGTTAGCTGAGGAGCGTTTTCGTTGCCAGCCAGGAGTTGCGGCGTGCTGCTTCGCTTCTTCATCAGCGCAGTCTCACCGATGCCCTGCCCGGTCACTGTCAGAAAGGCCATCTCAGATAGGAGCGATGGAAGCGACCCACTTCGGCAACGAACTGCTGGCAAAGAAAGCCGTGTCGTCTCCTTGATATCAAAAGATGCGCCAGCCATCGTGCTTGGTCCTAGATTGCTTGGCTCTTGTTTGTCAAGGGTTCTTCAAAACCAAAATAACCACACCTACAATGAGATGATTACCCGGCCGGGAAATAAAAATAACACTTGCGTCAGTTGATGTTTTCGTTAGTTCGCATGGGTCACGTGGGGGATGATTGGCACTTGTTTGTCAAGGGTTCTTCAAAACCAAAATAACCACCGTAAGTCCTCCAATGAGATAGTTACTCGGTCGGCGAAATAAAAATAACACTTGCGTCAGTTGATATTTCGTTCTCACGTGTCATATGGAGCGATGATTGGTAGAGAAGATGATTTGACAAGATTAGGTCCTTGTATGCACAGTTTCGTTCAGGCGAAACCATTAGAATATAACACAGGGAAAACGCCATATTGTATAGATACTGTAGTCTCTTCTTTTACATACCGAGTATTGGATAAATGTGTGTGTACGTGTAGACAAGGTACAGTTAACGGTCGTTTGCAGCATGTAGTTTCCCCGGATGCTGCTTGCAGAGAGTACAGAGTCAGTGTATGACACCATTTCTGGGTGTATAGGAGAGGAAGTTTACACCACTTTGCAAATTGTGTGGCAACGGACCTAATACTCCCTACTCTATAGCCATCGCCACAGATGCCCCTGTTGATGACAGCGTTTATTGAGACACGATCGCGGGTACATATAAAGCTGTAAAAGGTCATAAAAGACCAGCCCAGTTTTGACCAATCCACAAAAAAGACACGATCACTAATATGCCACAAAGTTTTGTAATTCTTTTATTGGCGGTGAGCAGTTCTTGCAAATGTGGTTTGGTCATCTGTGTGAACGTTTCCTCTATTCTCCAAGCAGAAGAAAGAAGCAACAGAAAATGGGGCATATTATAGAAAGGTTACAACATTCCCCACCAACCTCTGCTTGGAGAGCAGTTCTTCCGGTGCAGTGTAAAGGCCGGTGTTGCAGAGGCGGGGCTAAAGATAGATTTCCACTCTAACGCTGTTTAACGACGCGCATTCATCACAGGAGCTGTGAATTTGGAAGAAGAAAATGAAATGGTTCAGGATCTATAGCCTATCGGCTTTGTCTATCCCAGCGTCAGTTGGAGCACTGAAGCAGTGATGTAACTGCACAGCACCCTCCGGACGTGTCCTTACCTACGTCAACGGAACTAGCTAAGAAGGAAGCGAGGGGAAACCCACGGGGCTTGCTCGTCCCAGTTTCACCGGTGTCTACAATAGGCCATTGAGCAGCAACATCCTGCAATAGCAAGCAACTGATTCGAAAAATGTAGATTATACAATTAATGCAGGATCTAATGCACGAAATACGGTGGTATGGATCGTAGAATTTGTTAAAAGGAAATAATACTAGATTGTCAGGTTAATCAGTCCAAAGGAAGACTAATCCCACCCTCAGAACTCTACTGTGGCTAAACTCCCATTTGAACCAGCATTGTTAGTCTGGTAGCGACTCATTGTTACTAGTACAAGTTCCCACTGCACCAGAAGGTTGGCTCCGCCTTCGATTTCACACAGGCGCTCATAGGGCGAAAATCGACCACTACAAATCAGACGAGACAAAAGTCATTCACAGTTAACTTTCTTTATTGTAACAACAGGTATGATCATCCAACTTTCCTTACTTATGAAGCCGGCGGTCTCAATGCCGCTGTGTACGGATTCAGTGGGGAGCTTCACCCACATTACAGATGGCAGCTGCTCCACACCTCCAACTAAACCCTCAGTCACAAATATAACCTGTGCTTACATGGATATCAAAGCGTTCCAACAATGTACACTCAAAGTAGGGGAAAAAACTGCCACGAAATCAAATTGAAAAGGTCCAATGACGCACGATGTAACCTAGATTAAACCTATTCAAGTCTCCTCGCAGCGCACATGTTTACCGGCCATCGCCTCTTACTAATTGCGCTTTGATTCAGCTCTGGAAATAGTGGCTATTCTTTGACGTGAGAATGGGAGCTGAATCCAGGCGTCCCTCTCCAAGGTGCTGAAATACTAGTAGCCTTCCTGTGACCCGCCCTGGTTTCGGTGCCACACGTTAAACCAAGGAGGTTCAATCACTGGATTACTTAAACCCAAAGAAATGGATCTATCATTTTGGCAAGGTATTTTCATTGCACAAAGAAAGGTTTTATAATAGCAGCAAATTTTCCAAACAGATTTTTGAAAGGGACGAACAAGGAGCAGGATTAAATCATCTGTACACTCAAGGAGGTTGATTTTATCTCCATGGTACACTGGAACTGTTGCAGAAAGCCGATGATTAAACTGGTTTTTCTTTCATGTTTGTTCATGTATACAGGGCTAGTAAAACAGGTCAATACACTGCTTATGAAATCGCTTGAAAATCACGGGCCATTTCACAACATGACGAGAGAAAAGTCAAGCCGTGAGATATCATTACTGCGGCATGAATGCAATTAAAGAGTTAGCCGGAGGGGAGGCCAGCATCTGTGAGAAGGCGCTGATTGAATTCTGCATCCCAGCACGGTGTCCATAGCAACAGGTTAGAGATACGCCTGGAGGGATAACCATAACACAACAGCCTTCATTACTATAGCGTGGGCTGACAGTTATACATGTTATTCACACATGCATGGATACCTTCTTTGCTACAATCTCAAACTGTGGGAATACATTGAGTTTTCATCAAGAACAAGAACTTATTTTTTTTCTATTTACAAATTTAACTTGAAGTATCTATCTTTGCTGATCGTGAGAATCGAGCTATCTTATATCGCAACAATCCGTTTAATATATAGTGGCTCATGTACAATATTCTTGATATAGGAGATACCTTTCATTCACAATGCATGGCAAACGCTAGCAGGATATATACAGCTCATACTACAGGCATTAAATGCAGTGAGATAGGCTCATAAAATCTATCTCAGATATTTCTTACAAGCCATCTACTCAGTTCTGGCAAACTTCATATGAAGAAGTCATAGTCTTATACAGAAAACAGTATTTTACTTGTGCTTTAAATCTAGGAACATTTTTTAAAGCAGTAGAATTTACAGGTCATTTTGGATCAATCAGTCAGCATCAAATTCATGTGGGATTTTCTTATTTCTTACAGAACTACAGTTTTTAGTATTTTTGTTGCTTTTGTTGTGATTCTCATTCCTTAGTACATAGAAACCGTGATTACCTAAGCCATTACGAGTAATTTCTTGTTAATAACAACATTTTTGTGTGGAACTTGTTCAATCACGACCAAACAAAAATGGGCAAAATGGACAACATAGCTGCCCAGAATCTCTGCCATTGTATTACAAAGTCATCTGAGCTTACATTGAAATCATAGAACTCTCCTCTTACCAATTGTTTTCTTCCAGGAGAGATGTAAGTTTGCTAATCTTTGTTGAAAAAAAAAACACTGATGACAAGTGCCAGTAATGTAAGGAATGCCACCAAAACCAAACAAAATTGATAACATAGGCAAAGCAAAGACTTTTCTTAGCTAAGCCAACTTCTACTACGTTTAAAGTACTACACATCTCAATTCAAAATCAACTTCTAGATTCACCAAATAAAAAGAAAATCAAACTTATAAATATGTTACATTGTGCACGAAACATTTGCCTTGACTATCCTGTCAAAGTATCGTGATTTGCTGTTTTGCTCTTCGCAACTTTCTTTGACAGGGCTTTTCAACTCTACAGCGACTTAACTACCTTTCAACGCAAATGTGAAGTGGTAATTACCTGTTACCACATGATTCTTCTGGGAAAAATGTGGGACAAATTTGAATGTCACATATTCAATAACTTAATCCATTGGTCAACAGCTCAATCAATTTTTTTGTTATTCTGAAATCATATTTTCATGAACGTGCATGACTCTTCAAGAAATGCAAAAGCTAAATTCCAGCATAGGAATGCCCTGAAGTCCTCATTGATGGTTGGTGTGCAACAGATTTTGATTTCTACCTTGTGCCAATATGAAGCATTAAAACAACACTTCAAGCATAAGAAGCTAAACAGCCTTAACAAGAGATGATGGACAGAGGCACTTCACTTGTCTTTTGTTACATGCAGCTGTACAACATTAGGAATCTATATCATCTTAGGAAGCCTGTCAACACTAAGTATTTTCTTATGTCTTAAGTATTTTCTTAATACGTATCATTGTAGCATATACACCAGGTAAAACATTAATCATTAACACTTTGCAACAGAACCTTTTTAGATTTTGTATGGAGAAGTTAGGAAAATGTGGGTTCAGG